GTCAAAAACTGGACAGAGGTCGAAACTGAAAAACAGAGAAACGAATCTGTCCAAATGGTGATAAACGGGTGATAGAAAGTGCTGTTTGTGTTTTTCTTTATTTTCTTGTGTTGTTTCATTTCTTTTATCTTCCTTACTTCATTTTTAGTTTCCAATTTGTATTGTGTTTGTGTGTTGTGTAAAATTAGTGTTCTTTACGTACTCAAATTAGAACTTATAGGAAACCGACAAGTTCTTCGTGGGATCGACCCCGTACTTACATAATCTATACTTCATTAGATTCGTGCACTTGCGGGTATTTTTAATTGGTTGTTTGCACATTAATTTGTGTCCTTTTAGGAATGCAACAGTGTACTCAGTTAATTTTAGGGTTCGTTTAGCAGCACTCTACTTTATTTCTATAATCATGCAAAAGATAACAAAATAAGTGTCCTTTATTACATCAAATGTATTAGCTCTTAGGACACATTTCTAACAGCTTGATATTGACATGCCTCCTAGACATTATGTTGTTGATGTAATATCTCAATATTTGTTGTTAATTATGGATGTGCAATTATGAAACTTTTTAATGCAGTAGCTATATTTTAATAGAGTTTTTATAAAAAATAGCCAAAATTTTGCCCCTATTTTTATAAATGTCATTTTTCATAAAAATTTTCAGATATACCAAAAAACCCATTTAAAAATACACAAATGCCCTCAAGATTAAAAGCCAGATAAACCTAAAAAGTTGTCAGTAAAATCGATTGCTTGCATCTCTGCAGGAAACTCCTTCCCACCTTCTTCGACTAGCTTCTCTAATCTTTTCACTGCAATGTTTAAACTCCTTTTGTAAACTGCTCCCAACGAACCTTTCCCACTCCTTCTTTGAACCTATTTGTAGCTCTTCTCAACTTGTTGCATGAATGAAGCTCTCAAAGTAAACTCCTCATCAGCCAGTAGTCTAAAATTACCATTAATCTCAGTTAGACCGCAGAAGTCGAATTTTGAAAATGTAAAATCCAGAAATTACGAGGGCCACACTTGAGAATATGATGAGAGCTAAAGTTAAAACAAGAATTTGCTCTCACTTTCTTGTTTGTGGTAATTGGACTCCAGGGGATGGGTATTAGATTAGTGTTGCTTTGAGTGTTGTTTATGGTGCTACTTGTTATGATGCCGACCTTGAAGACAACTGCGGTGGTCGTTCATTGGGCAAGTGCCCACAGTAGTCCTTCATTGGGTCCGCCAATGATGGTGGACTCCTTGAGATCCCTTCTGACATGTCTGAGTGGTAAGTTTTCTTTGGCACAAATATAACTCCCACCGTCGAAAACAGCAGACCCGCAATTGCAAGACCTTCATATCCACAAAAATCAGCCCAAAACCTGCTTGACCAAACATAAGCAATTTCTATGTAAGAGAAATTTATTTTTATTTTCTATAAATAAGAAAGTGAATCAAAGCCACCCAATCAGTCCGAGGAGGAAAACTTTCAGAAGCAGAGAGAGGTTGAATGAAGGAAGCCCTGTTTTGTATCATACTCGAAAAGAAGAATTGAATTAATTAAACGTTATTTGTTGGATAATATACTTGACAAGTCTGGTAAGAGATGATCGCCTGTGAAAGATTAATATTTTTTTTTACCTTCAGGTTTATGTGAGTTTTAATTTTGAGAGTATTTGTGTCTTTTTAAGTGGATTTGTTGTATGAGAGCGAGGGATCAAATGGACAAGGGAGGCTAAACCAATTCTGCAAGCTATTTGATTGGAAAAAAGCAATAAAGCAAAAAAAAAAATAGTTACAATTATGTAATGGATCAACAAGCTTAATGCACGTACAAAAACAAGTTACTCAAAACCACAGACAGAAGAACTGTCATATATAACATCAGAATGAACCAATTGAACAAAACATTACAACACTCCGTTAATAGCACATCGAAAGACGAGCTGCATACACTGGTTGATACAGACGGGGGCATCATTTTCTTATCGTAACTTTTGCCTGAAGGCACAAAATACACTTTGAAAGATGGCAAAATTCTTCAGAGGGCAATGATTTTCCTATGCAAATGCTCCCCAGTGGTACCTCCCTCTCCATCATGATCATGAAAAACAAGTGTCAATATTCCTACCAAACAAAGCACCGACCCAACAAGAAGTTTGTCGTACCGCTCCACCCAGTGAAACTTGAGCTGGCTGGCACCATAGAATGACAGTGCAACCAGTGAAGTCATCACAGTTATGGTGCTGTAATTCAATACCATGAAGCAAGGATCTTTATGTTAGCGGAAGGAATTTCCAGATCATTATAAATTAGACCACATCCAGGCAACTAATCAGAACATCATTTCAGTAATTCAATGATTTCAATGCCCAATTAAATTAAATGCTAGGCCGACCAGAAAACTGTTAACCTAGCAGCAACCAAGTAATAAACAGTCAATTCTGGATGTTCAGAAATCTAAACTGTCTGGTAAACCACAAAAGCCACTTAGGCAAACACTTCACAAGGTCTGCTCAACACAAAGATTTCTGAGACAAATTGAGAAAATGAAATATCCAAATAAAAAAGGAAGTTTGGAAGGAATTATATCAGGTTCGTGTTTAAATTGCGGATGGCTGAAAAATGTTTAAGTTCACATTGGAAAAGCTCTAGGGGGTCAATAAAGATTTCCAAATCAAGGCTGATAGAAACATCAGTGCATATTGACTGAAATGTCCCAAATATAAATGAAAACATAACTGAATAATATTGATTGAAGCCATTATTTATTTGAGAAGAAGGGGAATGTGCACATTTAACTTTGTGTTGGTTATCTATTCTTTCCTCAGTGAAACGTGGGTGCAAAAAGCCACTTCTCTTCAAAACGTTTTGTGCCAATTTAATAACCAAAATGTTACTAATTAAGTTCTCACACTTGCTCATGAAAGTTCCAGCAACCAAGTCATAATTAGGTAATCAAGAGACAAACAAGAAATACAAAACTTGATCCTAAAATATTGATACCTGAATAGCAGCACTATGATAGCAAGCACCATCATGGAAGATGAATTCCCAACAGCAAGAAATACCGGAAGTGTGGTTGCACAAGGAGACAATGCAGGAACGAGTACAAGTCCTGCAACAGCCATCTTTTCCATGGGTTGGTTGTGTGAATGACTGTGACCGCCTTTTCCAGTTAAGAACAACAAAATGTAACCGCCACCAAGAAATACGAGCAGAAGTGAAGCAAGTTTATGTACTGTTTCCTCGCCAGCTATGGTATTTGCCATGGTGACTGCTGTTATACCGAGTATTGAAGTGGATATTACATGCAAGACTGCTCCAAATGCAGCTGCACAAGAAAATACCATAGAGTGAACATGAGTCCTGAAAGCACTGTCACAATAACATTTAAACACTGAATTTTTATGCATTTTTTTCAGAATCTATAATCTTGTATCGGTGAACTCAGAACAAAAGAAAAGAAAACCTTTTACAGAGATATAGCTGGGCTTAAATATATGGGGCATCATCCAGATCAAGGATTCATGCATTCCCATTTACTCTAAACCTCAGTCAGGTAACCCAAAATCAACCAACCAGCTTCACTATAGTGTTGTTAGAATTTTTCATTTAGAATAAAAGAAGTTAATATGTTTCGGGACAGAAGAGGAAAGCACTGGTCAAGTCTAGATCTGCTGAAGTATTAACAAAAAGGACACCACAAAGTGCTCTCAGGAAAGAAATTTTGATTGTAATCCTTCCTAGGTGGCCCTTACAAGGTGTTTTTGACAACCAAAGCCTTTTTTTTGAAAAGAAACCAAAGCCTTCAGCACTGCACTGAAGAATGGTATTGCGATTTAATAATAGGTTCATCAAACCACACCTTTAGAAAAGTAAAGGCACCTGAGTAAACTTTTAAGCCATGTCTACAGGAATTGTTTAGCTCAAATAGGTAAATTTTTAAGCCAATAAATATTAGTCAAACTCAATAGAAACTTCTCTACATGTTTTCAAGGGTCATGAAGTGTATTGAGGCAGGCATATAACCAATGCACTACAATGAACAAAGTGTAACAGCCTGTACCATAGTATGGAATTTTTATCGTTTCTTCAAGATCTTTCATAGTACAAGAGTTTTTCAGCATATGTCCTCATTTAGATACCCAAATACTTTGCAAAAGACCTAAGTTCTTTTTAATGTGGACTGGGGGGCTGCGATATCTCAAGGCAATCATGAAATTTTAATTGTTCAGTGTTATCTATAGACTAATAATTGTACTGCCAGTTTGGTAATAGGGGTCTTTCTTGTACCTTCATGGTTGGATTGCTTGATATATATGTGTTTCTTATTATAAAAATAAAAAATAAAAAATGTTCTTGGTAATCCTTATTTTTATTTATTTGATAGGATAGACAATGCTAAATTTTAAGCACATCAATCTCCCAAAACTAACTTCTGAAAAAACAATAAATTTAAATAAGTATATGAGAGAGAGAGAGAGAGAGAGAGCATTTTAAAACATGTAAATGTGTCCTGCAATTTGTTATGTAGAGGATTACGGCTTATGAATAGTTAAGAAAATTGTTGTTTGGAGTTAGCATGATTGGAAAAGAGTACAGGTTCTAAAGTGCATGCACTAAAATAAAATGACTCAGTTTTGTTGGATGCAATAATGCTTGGAATCAAACACAAAAAATGTTGTTAAATAGTTATGGTGATACAGAAAGAGAGACAGAAAGACAAGGACAGAGACAGAGAGGAGGGGAGGGAGGAAGAAGAAGAAGGATGAAAACTAAAGTCCCTCAGGGATCTCACGTAGGGTTTAAAGTGTACGAGACAGACAGATGGCATCACCCAGTCTAATATGAAAAATTCTCCAACTTTATAAACTATACACTCCCAAAATTCTTACTATGAGAACCAAAGACCACATATAACACCTTTTTTCCCACTAGACAAGGCAAGGCAGCTGCAAACTTACTTAGGAAACCTTGTAATGAGGGTAATTTGGAAAGTAAAATGGACTAGAGAATGTCCCAAGCAATGCCAAATTGAATTTTGATTTTAGACCATCCGTCTAGATTGCCTGGTATCTATCTAATCTAAGCAGATTAAGCTTGCTTAGCTCTCTCTAATGCAATGCCAAATTATCCTGTAGTTGAATTGTGCAGCATCAAAGAGAACTGGGTTATGACTGGAAAGCAACAAATTTATACAAGGTTCCCTAAAGGTCCTTTACAGCTTTTACCTAAACTTGAAAAATAATCTATCTAATCCACTAATTTTCCTCCAACTGTTAAACTCAAAAAAGTGAAATGCTTAAAACTTAAAAGCAGAGAAAAAAAAATCATGCCAGATCCAGAATTCTTCTAAGCTAGTTTACACCATTAACATCACAGGAAAGCACACTTTCACTTTCAATTTCACCTTTACCTTCACCTTCACCTTCATGAGCAATGACTATGACTCTGTGAGTGACCAAACAACCCTAGAAAACGAAAAATGG